TTTAGCAACTCTGAGGTGGAGAAAATCATCAAGTCCATGTCACCTAAATCATGTGATCTTGATCCAATCCCAATCCAAAATTTTCTAGAATCTTTCTTCCTCTACTTCAGTATTCCGCTCTATTATTAACTCATCACTCATATCTAGTGTTGTTCCTGGTCCTTTGAAGGCTGGCATTATTACTCCTCTCCTCGAGAAACCTTCTCTTGATCCCAGCTCCCTTGCCGATTATAGGCCTATTAGCAATATACCATTTATTGCTAAGGTTATTGAGTTGTGTCTGCCTAGTCCTTATTAAATTTCTGGACGAAAATAACGTATTCAATAAGTATCAATCTACTTATAGGAAAGGGCATAGTACTGAATCAGCACTCCTGAAGGTTGACAATGACATTTTATCTGCTCGTGACCGTATTAAGTGTGTTCTGTCTGTGTATCTCGATCTTTCAGCTGTTTTGATACTATTGATCATTATATCCTTATTGACCGACTTTCAGAGATGAGAGTTTCAGGTACTACCTCTTCTTTGGTTTCAGTCATACCTCTCCTCTAGACACCAGTCTGTGTGTGTTAAATCAATCGTATTTGAACCAGCTGCCCTCAAATGTGGACAGTTTTTTAAATGGTAAATGGAGATGTGTATAAGAGACAGATTCCTAGTGATCTGTACTTACTGTACTAAGACCAAGTATAGGCCTAGTAGTAGTAGGAGTGTGGATTTATGCCAAAGTTGGCGCTGACTGATGATCCCGTCGAAGGATTATGAATATTTAAATTTACCGACTTTAAAATCAACATTGAACACAGAATTTTCCAGGTGTTCTTAGCTTAGAATTTAACAGTTTTAAATATTATTAAATATCTAGTAGTTGCTTGACTTCCTCCTCTGTTGTTTTTGCTTTTTCTCAGGATTTTGTTTCGATTTGAGTCTTAGCATTTAAAAATATTTGATTTCCAGAAAATTCCTACATATTACATAATCGCAATAATCGAGTAGCCGGGTGGTAGGGCAAGGGCACCACTAACTAAAATTGGCATTTTTCTAAGCCACTCCTCGTCCAGGGTAGAACAAAGTCTTCTTGGATAAGGACTTAAAATGGAGGTCCAGTGTAGGCCTACATATCTGGCTTGTGTGCACTTTAAAGAGCCCATCTCTCGGAAGGGTAGGGTGTTACCCTGATTGTAGTTCTTTTCAGCCCCTGCCATTGTGGAATGCTACTACCTATTTATGGCAGTAGGTACCAGTAGCCACAGACCACACCTTTACACGATTCAGCACAATGATGCTGCGAGTTACAGGTTATTCGGATCCACCTTTAACTTTAGGCTTGGCATACAAATCGGTTGGAGGGCCAAAGTGAATTTTTGATTGAACATCGAGGGCCACACCCAATCTTCGATGTTTCCAGAGTGCTTCTAAACACGTTCTTGCACTGTTTTATATCACTTTATGCTCAGCTTAATGTTACTTTTTACAGATGATCAGCGTCGGACCGCAAAAAACAAGGTGTTTTCTAGCTAAATATGTTTGGCGGGTCGCATACAGGGTTTGTAATTTATTTTTGCAGGCCCCCAAAACATCACTGTCGGGCCGTACTTTGCCCACCTGTGCTTTAGGCCCACCTATCTTGGGTGAAACCCCTGTGGCCTGTTTTTCTCTAGGCCTAGTACCAGGCATTTCATAGTATAGGTCTTGGCTTAATTCATATTGCTCTCTATATATATTTGTTTTTTTTTTGCACAGCATCCCAGAGGCGAAGAGGTTTTACTTGAACAGGCAGGTGAGGCAATGGGCAGACATCTTTTCTTTACAAGTATAATAAAGAAGAAGTAGTTACTTTCAAATGCATTATTTTGATTGCAGAACTCAATTACATTTATTTTACAATATTTGAGTATACAATTTGACTCTCAGAGAGCAATAATCATTAAAAATTAATTTACCTAAAAGCAGGAATACCTTATGTACCGTATAATAATGACCAACGATTACCGTATATACTCACGTATAAGGCGAACCACGTATAAAGGTGACCCCCGAGTTAGAGACAATTTTTGGTCTATTTGTGTATGTCGGGCGTACTGTGTAAGCAAAATTATAAATTCAGGTATAGTAAAAATATATGTTTTGAAAACTAAGTGTTCCACAGTTTAATGTATCGAATCGTATAAGGCGACCCACGTATAAGGTGACCCCCCGAGTTAGAGAAAATTTTTGGACAATTTGTGTATGTCGGGCGTACTATGTAAGCAAAATTATAAATTCAGATATAGTAAAAATATATGTTTTGAAAACTAAGTGTTCCAAGTTTAATGTATCGAATCACTTATTTTAAAACAAAATACATTTAATTATAAAAGTTAAAATATGAAAAAAAAAATACTTAAAATGTTTCTTTTCTCTGAGTAGAGCTGTTTGTTATTAGGCCTTCAATTGTTTGTTTTTATTTTTGAAATGTTAGAAATGAATATCAAAATAAAATAAAGGTCAGTTTTTTAAATGGTAAATGGTTAGAATTTTAAATTAAAAATTTCAAGCAAATTCGTCTAAAACAGTTTCACTGTGTTTGCGTAGCACATAGAGTACATACAGTACTTCATTGTCTATTTTTAAATTTACCTTACTTATATGTCAATTTGTTTAGGTGGTGAACACAAAGAGCCCCTTCGGGGAGAAGCAAGTTAGGCCCATAAAAAAATGTATTAATTTATCACTCTCCCTCATCACGGCGGTGGCGGCGGCGGCGGCGGAGGCGGCGGCGGTGGCGGCGCGGCGGTGGTGGTAGTAGTAGTGGTGGGTAGGTGTGTGGCCCACGCTAACCGGTCGCCATGCATAATTTTGGATTATTGAAAAAAAAAACCCAACTGTTTTAGCCACCATGGCGAAGGCTTGAAATCATAAACAAATTTTCAAATATTGGCTGAAATACTACATACATGGTTTTGTGTCTACTGCCTCCGACGGGAGCTGTAGACACTATGTAGCAATTAAAGATGGCGGAAAGGGTAAATCCGGTGGAGGAATGATGGATACTGCTACCAAGTGGTAGAGGGCGCTCTATTGAAAATCGAATAGCGTTAGGAACTGTAAAGGCATTCGATTATTTCTCTTGTTTAGTTATTTTGATAGTACCCCCTCTATTGTTGAAATATGACTTTAAGCCCTTGGCAACCCTTATTGAGAGTAGGAAAGCATGGACTACCTATGATGAAGGGGATGCACTCCCATGTTCTAGTTTGAAGTTAATGCTTAGTGTTCTTTGCTGGCCATAGTGGTAAGCATATACTATGTTCTAGTTATGAATCTATATGATATTTAAGCAGTACTTATGCATTGAAACTAAAGGCTCAGAAACGAATAATAGCTAATACAATAATCACACTGGGCATAGGCTTAGATATCACAGATTGACTCAGGAATATGCTTATTGCTTTCACCTTATTCCATTTTATTATAGTTTTCACCGGTTAGTACGAATAAAGTATGCCGATATCCTAAAGCATTTGGAAGAAGTGTATTTTGTAGTAGTACCTCCGGTTGGACGCCGGCACAGTGAAAACACTCAGAACCACACGATTGATTAGGCTAGTTAGACGTCTACTGCCTAGCACTGCAGCTAGAGAAGTTAGTTAGCCTACACATACGTTACAAACCCTACTTAGCCTACTACTCATGCCTAGGCCTAGAGTACATCACACTCGACAGGCCGAGACAATGGCAAGGGATAGTGTCCTGCAAGCAACAGAAGCGCTATCCTCTCAGTGGAATACAACCAAAACAGTCATAGAAAAATTTAGTGACTTACCAGATTCTATCAAAGTAATTAAAATTGAAGCCTGAAGCATTAGAGGGCGCTATGGTTCGACCTGGTACGACTTGGAAGAGGCCTACATCATGGGTGGAAACTTGTTCCAGAAAGAACATTACAGCATGCAGAACGTTTATGTTCTCCAATATAAATATGTTGATGACATTATTGTTAAGACTGAAACAAGATTAGACAACCTAATGGCAGAATTAGCATCCAACTACAGTCAAGACAATGCACACTTCACTTTCTCGGAGATCGAAGAAATCAAACTCAACTTTCAGCCAGATTGCAGAGCTACTGGCTAATGCGGAAGCTGCGGAAACAAGAGCCAAGTATGAGAAGCAGATAGCTGAAAAGGAAGCTGAGTTGCGGACTCTCAAAGCCGATAGTGAAGCTGCTATCCTGAGAGCTAAAGCAAATGCCTTCTCTGCAGTCTTCACAGATGAAGGTTCGTATAATCAACCACAAACAACTCCTGACCAGACCTCGAACGATCACGCTTTACTTTTCCAGAAACATGCACATGACCAGAACGAAACACATCAGAAGCAAACAAGTAACCCGACACCCCCAACCACACTAGAACCACCAACCACACCAGAAACTGTATGGACTAAGACAATTGACATCCTTGCACGATGATCACTACCAATCTGCAAACCTCAAGTATACGGAGAAGACGCAATGATATTTTTAACCTGGCGTAGAACATTCAGAGCTATGGTTAACAAAGCTAAAATATGTGCGAATGACGAGCTCGCATATCTTGCTGAATTTACTAAGGGACCAGCTAAGGTATTGGTGGATCATTATTGCTAGAGACACACCAGCAACCCTGATAAAGCTCTAGAAGAAGCCTGGCAAAAGCTACAAGAACGTTTCGGACATCCATCCGTCATAACAAAAAGGCTCAAAGACACTCTAAACGAGAAATCTAAATTTGGTTACAATGACAATGAGAAGCTAAGAGAATTTTCGAATCTGTGCAAAGATATTGCCGCACAAATGGATGAACTCCCTGGATTGCACATCCTTAACTGTGAGGAATTCATTAACCCAATCATTCGTCAGCTACCTAAGTACATACAAACAAAGTGGGAAAGCAAAGTTTCGAGGTATATCCAAGCTAACAAACACACATTTCCACCCTTTAGTTTTTTCACCGACCTGATAGAATCCATTTAAGAAATGAAGAACAATCCAATGTTGAAGATTAACGATGTTCCGACCAAAACACTTCGTACACCAGAAAGACGACTTTCTGCACGAGTGATGAAAACTAGCACAAATCCACACATCTCTTTGCCTACCAGCGATAAATATTGCCAATTCCATGAAATGGACCGTCACAGCCTGTTAGATTGCAGATCGTTTAAAGCAGTACCTATAGATGAGAGGAACGACTTAATCAAGCGTTGGAACCTATGCTTTCGTTGTTGTTTGGGGTCCCATAGAGCAAGAGACTGCTCTACAGAAACCAAGTGTGAGAAATGCGGTAGCTCTAAGCACATCTCGCTGCTATGTATAAACAGCCAAACCGAGCAAGCACCAGCGAATCATGGCGAGGAGGACAAGCAGAAGCCTCAAGAGGTTACAAGCACATGTACTGCAATATGTGGAAAGTATGTTAGTGGGCGCTCTTGCGCCAAGATCGTGCTGGCAAAGGTATATCTCAGACATCGCCCACACGATTCAACCATGGTATATGTTGTACTAGACGACCAGTCGAATGCCTCACTGGTAAAATCTGAGCTAGCAGATCGATTTGGACCCGAAATTCAACCAACTAATTACTCATTATCGACATGCAGTAAGAAGAATAAGCTTTGCAAGGGAAGACGAATCGCAGATTTGATGATAGAGTCGAAGGATCGTAATATTATGAAACTACCAATGCTAATAGAATGCAATAGTATCCCCGGACGTAAATCCCAACACCAGATATCGCTTCACACTACGCTCACCTTGTAGATATTGTCGACCAAATTCCTCATCCCCATGAAGATGTTCCCATACAAATCCTTCTCGGCAGGGATGCTGGTGACCTTTTAAAAATTAGGGAGTACAGAAACGGCCCATCAGGAGCACCTTGGGCTTCAAACGCATGTAATCCACGCAAAAGCGCTTCGTCCCGTCCTTTTTCGTGACCAAGACAACATTTGATGCCCATGGGCTCTCCGAATGCTCAATCAGGCCTCTGTCTAATAGGTCCTGCATTTGCTGGTTTATCTGCTCACTGGCCTCCATCTCTGGCGCCGGGGTTGTTCCTTAATTGGTTGTGCCCTTCCAACATTTATGTGGTGTTTTACTTCGCCAGTTCTCCCTAAGTCGCAATCTCCTCCAGAAAACACATCTTGAAAAGTGATTACTCAAACCGATTGACTGAGGTTTCCATGTAATTTCACTGTTCCCTGGTATACCATGACAGTAGACAACGCCACCATTAGTCATCGATTTCGCCACTTAGTTTTCAAATATTATGTCGTGAGGTATAGAATCAAAGGCCCCTTCTGCATCTAAAGAACAAGCGAAGACTTGTGAGCCTTTGTTAAGTATTCGCGGAAGAGGAGTACATATTAAAAATATCGGGACTAATAATATGGGAGTAATAAGAAGGCGACGACGTCATTATCTGCATTGACAATTAATTTGGATTCAATTACGTACAATTCTTATTTACTTATATAAATAAACTTTCATATGCTAAAGGGTTTCCAACAACGATGGAGTGACGGTGTTCCATGTCTAAATAGCAGTGGGAAAAAACATTATATACCTGCTGATCTCTGTTTGAATAGTGATCGCACCAGAACGACAAAACACAATAACAGGCTTGGTCAACTTGTAAAAATTCACAACCTTTTGTTGATTGCCCATAAAGCAAACTTGAGAGCGTTATACAGCACGATTTAAAAACATTCTTATCGTAATGAAGCAGCCATAACATTGAAAACAAATAAACTAACAGCAAATCGGCGTGTGAATGCAAATAAAAATTTACAATTGGTCCATTGTTCTCAAATTTTAAGACCAATTTTTACA